TATTTCTATTTTCATTTTTAGGATTTTGTCTTTTTGTTTTGGAAGTATATTTGATACTCCAAGAGAGGTAATATCCTTGCAAGAAAATATATTGTTTGCATGCTTTATCTCTTTTTTCTTTTGTTTTAAAGCAGACTACTGTAAAGTTATGCTTCTCGAGTATATAGGGATCTTTGATGTATAGCATGCCTTGGCTTGTGTACCATTCAATGCTCTGGTTATCAGGCTAGTGTAAGTTTTGTCAGTATCTAAGAGTCTTGCTGAATTATCATTTCTCTCAATTAATATCTGGTTGATTTCATTATCGCTGAGCTCAGACTTGGATAATATAGCTCTTGATATTTCTGTACTGATTGGAATCATTCAGATTGCTTCAAGATTTAAGCTGAGATATTTGTGCTATTTGATATAAGCCTTCACTTATGGTTTTGTGTTTACCTCATAGATATAAACATTTTGGACTTCTTCATATCTTTTTAGATATGTTTTTATAATATTCTTATTGACTTTTTGATCCACATCTATCAGATATACATATCAGATCTCAGTATCTTTCTGGGTTATAGGGTCTTGAAAGATTTTTCTATCTAAGTTTCTTTTTGTTTTCTATTTCTTTGGGGTAGCCTGGGGCATTATATATTGAATCTCAAAGTTGTCTTCTTTTTGATTAACTTCTTCTATATATCTTATAACATCTTCTTCTTCTTGTATCCAAAAGACTAACCACTCATTTCTATTAACATATTCTTTTTTCAATAGGTTTCTTTTTTCTTGTAGAAGTTTGAGAATGTTACCTAAGTATGCTTTGGTTTCATTTTTTGTTTCTCCTGGAATATTGGCTGCCATTGCTCCTAATCTATAGGTTCCTTTCTTTTTTATGAAATACGAATTTATTAATGGTGCCATGTTTCTATTTCTAGTAGTATAAGAGCAGTGTTCACTAATATATTGTCTTTTGACTGTTTCTTGGAGTTCCTGTAATTCAAATTCTTCTGTCTCCTGTGCACATGTCATTATTACTTCATTGTCTTCTATAGAATTATTATCTACTTGTTCGATGATCTCCATTGACTGTTGCTCTGTTTTAATATAGTTTACGGGATTTTTGATAATTTCCATAAACTTGTCTTTGATATAGGGTTGGAAGATTGTCTTTTATCCCTTTACCTTGTTGCTAAAGATATGTAATGTGCTGAGTTAAAATTCTTCCCTTGTGAAAGATTGTTATATCAACTCCTAATATCTTAGCTATAATGCTATCTAAAATAGTATAGGTTTCTGGTAATGATTCTATTGGTCCATTGGGTTCACTATTTTTTAATTGTAGTAGTTGTTGTGAGGCCTATATGGTAGAGTACTTATCGTATTTTCTTGAGAGATTAACTAGAGTATTTACTATATTCTCATCTCTCTTATTGACTATTTGTAATATACATTGTGCTCAATTTATGTTTACTGGCTTGAATCTATTGAAAATCATATGAATGCTTTTTTATATTTATTGATAATCTATTTTTAGGTCGCGGATAAACCTTTCTGAGATTGTTGTTGTTTATATGTTTAATTAGATAATACAGAAAAACTTTGTTGTTTTGATATATTTATTTGTTTATATTGATGATCTTATCCTAATTTTGAGAGTTGTTGTTATACTTGTTTAGAGTGTCGATTAACTTGTTTAGATAACAAGTTATACATGATGTGCATATTTTGCTTGTCAATTTTACTTGTATACTTGTTTTGCTTGTATAGTTTTTACGTGTTCATGTTTGCATGACAAGAGAAGGAATAGGTATATTGTTTATGTATGTATGTATATTTAGACTGTCTTGTCTTTAGAGAGCTTTGATATCCTTCTGGACTTTTGAGTAACTGGAGTAACTTGATTTATCGAGTGGGCTTAGTTGCTTTTTGGGTTCCGTACAATGTCAAGAAAGGTGTTAACCTGTACTGGCCTGGCTGTGAGCTGTGTGAAGTTGATATTGCTTTCTTTTTCTGACTGTGAATCAGTTTGCAGGTCTAGTTTTTTTTTCCTAAAAAATTATTTAGAAAAAGAAGTAAAAAGTTAATAAAGTATTGTATACCTCTTTTCTTGATATTTCTGGATAACTTGTTATATATGTGTTAAAAGTGCTTGATAGCTTGATTCAAAAGATATGTTGTTTTTCTTGATGTTTGAACTGGGTTACTTTTTTCAAGAAAATCATCAAAAAAATTTTTTTTTGAAAAAAAGGAGGATCAGCAAAAAGAGTTTATTTATATAAATATAAATTAGTTATTATATAAATATCTATATAATATTATCAATTATTATTTCAATCTAAAATCTCTTTCCACTGATTCTCTGACTATAACAAAAAAGACATTTGCAAGAAGTTTTTATACTTCTAAGCTAATAAAGTCTTATCACTTTCCTTAACTCTTTAAAAAAACTTTAAGAGTCATCAATTACCTCTTTTCTTCTTGCTTACCATCTTCTTCAAACAAAAACTTGACCCCTAGTAATTATAACAGATCAAGAAATACCTTTTCTACTAGTGGCAAGAAAGTTCTAAAAGGAAGAAAAACCAATGTACCATCATCTTATACCATAGAGAAATACTACAAAAGTATTTATATGATGAGAGACAACTTTCCTACTCTCTTGTTACTTGTTGCCTTCTAATAGTGCTCATTCTTGATTTTTTCTAGAGAATTTTACCTATCTCAGCTGATTCTGAATTTTGAGTAATATAAAGTTTCCCACAATGTGATTAGATAGAAAGAGCTTATATTAGAAAAGAAGTAAACATGCTTCCATTGGTCACCTCATATGTTTGAATATATTTTCTCAACCCCATAAAAACCTGGGGTCCATTATAAGTCATTGTGCTTGGTGTAAGTGGATACAAAACATGAAATCTCCTATGTCAATGGCTATCAAAAAAGAACAAGTTGCAATAGGACATATCAGATAAACAATAACTTCCTCACATTCTATTCAACAAATAAAAACTGAAAACCTGGGTATTATCTTTTTTGAGGGTTTTGATATATCTATCTCACTTTAAATCAACAATAACAATACCATTACTAACATCTATTGGACAAGATTCGTATACACTCTCCCTCCTCTTAAAATTTGTTTTTAGTGTTAGTGAAGTTAAGGCTCTATATAAGGGATCCCAATATTGGTGGTGCCGTATACCTTAGGTGAATTCTTGGTACATTAGCTCCCTTCCCAAAGGATAATAATAAACTACTCAATGGATCTGGGCTCAATGGATTTCAGGACCTAGAAAGTGTTGTGATGTATTAGGTCTAGATAGTCAAGTTTTGGGTGTTTAGTTAGTTTGTTATAGTAAAGAGAAATACCTGAACTAGATGGTCATGTAGTTGCTTTATCCTGGTGGGGTGAGACATAAATAGTTAGTTCTATGTACTATTTATTGATCTGTAAATCCTTAGACAGTATGGGTAATTATTCATCCCGGTTGTTTTTAGATAAGATCTTAATTATAATAAAATAGTGCCATGATGCATGGATGAGCTAGCATTAAACAAAATCTATATAATATTATGATATTTATTTAATATTTCAATAAATATATATCATTATAACATAATTTAAGTAAAAAATAAAATAATATAATTTTTAAAAGTAAAATTCAATTTTCTTTCAATATTATTTTAATATTTATATATTCACATTAAATTTAGATACTTTTTTTTATGTTCATTATTACAAAATTTAATAATAAATTATGCTTCAACTTTTAGTATATTTAGTTTTGAAGATCATATAGAAATTATCTTTAAGATAAAAATAATTCAAAATACAAGAAAAACAAAATATATATTATCTAGATAATTAACAAACTACACTTTAATAATAATGAGTAACAAAAGAAGGACATTACTTACTAGAATAAAAAACATTTAATTTTCCCATTTCAATAAAAATTTTATTTAAAAATAGCATAAAATAGAACCCAAAGTATAGAGATAGTTTTTAGTTCAGATATTTTCTTCCATACCAGTTTTTAATTACATTTCTTTATCTTTAAAAATAAAAAAAGAAATTTTTGAATTTATGATGTTTTTTTATTAATAAAAAAAATAATTCCAAATTAAAATTAACAAAATTCGTAAATTACAGTATATAAATAAATATTCATTACGTATTTATAGAATATGCTATATTTAAATATATTATTTCCACAGATATAGGTGTATAACATCGCTGTTCAAATGAATTTCGCGAATTTAGTATCAACACAATATTAAATTTACTAATGATAATTATACGCATGCACATATATATTTTTTAATGTATACGCACTTATAAATTTTTATTGATCAAATCTATTTTTGTATATCAATTATCGGAAGTCATTAATTTTCGGGGTAACTAACGAAAACTTTCTGTCCGTCTTCAAAAAGAATTACCCATATAAAGAAATGAATTATTTTTGCATATATTATTTTAGTAAAGATATTTTCGAAAACTAAAAAAAAAATAGAATAATGATTAGCCGATTAGAAATACAATTAACAACAAAAAATAAAAGTTTTCATTATTATGCTAAAAAAAACCATTAGTGTAACAGATATCCTACTAAGGCAAATTAATAAACAGTATATGCTATATACAAATTAAAGTTACAAAAAGAAAAAAGGAAATCTTTAGTACGCAAAATAATTAAGAGAAAGTTTGTGCATAGAATGCAGCGAATACAATAATGTGAAAATACTTTTTTCTAAAAAAGTAGTCTTCATTTAAAGTTTTCGGTTTAGATCTAACTCTTAATGTCCTCTTTTCATAAATTATAAAATACGCGCATCCGTACGTAGCATATAACAAATTCAAACTTTTTTTTGAAAAGATGATCGAAAAGAAAATTTTGATGTTAATTTTTTTATGTCTACTATGCAATACTTTAGCATATGGACAAGATTGTATTGGTAATCTTTTAAGCAGAGATGAACCTCGTTCTAGCTCAATCGGTTGCTATGCTCAGAAGCCTAATTCTACTGATAGTCTAAATGGTCTTTCAACCATTAATTTTGCAGACCCATTTCAAGACATCGACAAAGATTTGATGGATCCAGGTTTATGTAACGTTTATTGTGCTAGTTACCTTTTTACCTACGCTGCCCTAACACATGGCAATCAATGTCGATGCGGATTTCAAGATGCGCTCTTCAATTATACTTTAATCAACAATAAAAACTGCAACATCCCTTGTATTGGTAACAGTTCTTACCTTTGCGGAGGAGAAGAGTCATATACCGTCTATAAAGCCATGCTAGACCCGAATAAAATTCCGGTATCTGGAATGCCTTCTCTCGATGAAAAGATAGCCACTATTAATGCTCTCAAAACAAATTCCGATTATTTGGGGTGCATTAAGGATAGTCCATATTGCCATGCAAGGGCAATTAACGGTTCGGAGAAAGAAATTGAATCTATGACAGTAGATATCTGCGTGAATTATTGTCGAGAAAACGATTATAAATACGCAGGACTGGAAACCGGGGATCAATGCTTTTGCGGAAACGATTATAATAGTTTAAATCAACTAAGTCTGGATGATTGTTGTTCAACCTGTCCAGGAAATAATTCTCAGATTTGTGGTGGACCCCTTGCACTTAGTATGTATCTAGTGACCCAAAATTCAGGTAATTTATTATTATTATTTTAAATTAAATCAAATATGTTATGATTAATACTAAAATCTTAACTAATTATAGGAAACTCAAATTCTACTCGCAATAAAATTATAATTGGGATTACAGTTCCTGTCGGTCTTATCCTAATCTGTTCATTCGTTTTTTATTACTTTTATCGTCGTAAAGGCAAAAAAAAAAAAAATGAACAGCAAGCGCTTAATACACAATAGCAATAAAAATTTTATCAACAGAATTTGAATTTTATATAGTTATATTATAAAATAAAGAAATACGTTAATACGTGCATTTTATCAAATGACTGCGAATTTTGATTTATTGCTATTTTTCTGAGTCATACTGTAAGTCATATAAAATGTTTTTAATATATTCAAGATATTTTCATATCTCATTTGAACCTTAAATCTATGTAATACATACATTCATAAAGACAATTGCGACCAGTCTTGTATCTAGTTTCTCTGAGCATGTTACTTAAGGCTTGTATTTTTTTATTATTATTATTTTTAATTTTCATAAGTGAACCATAAATATTCTTCATATTAATAATAATATTTATCTATTTATTTTCTTTGTTATTGTATTAAAAAATTATTCTCAAGAATTATTTTAATGTTTTTATTAAAAACAACCATAATAATATTTATTGATCCTATTGATATCCTAATTTTCTCTATTTCTTTAATTACTATTTTTAAATTAATTGTATTTTATGTTTTGATAGTTTTTTAAAGAGAATTTAAAGCTTTTTATTTCTCTTGCATTTTCACAATTTTTTTTAAAATTGGCTCAGCCTTGTTTTATTTGAAATTTATGCAGTATTATTGTAAAAAAAACTATCCTAGGATATAGTATCTGTTTACTATCAAATAAAACTCAATAAAGTTACATTTGATTGAAAGGAGTTACCTTGCAGCTTGTTGCCATATAATTGTAGAGAGCTAACCTGTCAAGTTTAGGCTAGTGTTAAAAGAAATTTAAATATGTAGAAGTTGCCTATTAAGTTTTTGATCCATTGATCCATTGATCCACTAAGTTGTTAATTAGTTGTATAAACTGGTCTTTTATATATTTTTGTTTAAGATAAAGACTGGATCTCCTTTTTTGGTTTCATATTTTGTTAGCTTCTCTTTATTTTTGTAATTTTTATTTTGACTTTTCATTTTTGAAAGGTTATGAATTTTTTTAATCAGATCTGATAAAGGTAATTATGGTCTCTATATGAATTGCTATTATGCATTTCTTTTTTCTTGTTCTTTTCTGGATAGTTGCTTTAATTTTGTGTATTATTTCTTTAAAAAAGATATATATAATGCTTGCTGTCAAGTATTCCTTGAATTTTAGATTGTTTCTATTCAAAATTGTAATATAAAAGCTTGAAAACCTTTCTTTTTTATATAGTTTTTTATACAGTTTGTTATTGTATTTATTATGAAATTTTCTGTTTTTATTCTACTTTGTTGACAAAAAGGATGTGTACTTATTTCTGGCTTATTACATTTATTGCATTTGTTTTCTAAATAAATAGATAGTAATCTAGTATAAAGTTTGCTTTTATTTAGTAACTCTTATTCCAAAGGCTAATGTAGAATTTTCTTAGCTTCTAATCCTTTCAATCTATGTAATAGTTACTTCTTTTTGTGAGTTACATATATTTAGTTGTTACTTGTAATTTTATTTCCTTAATTAGTTGCTCACTGAAGTTGCATTTGTTTTTATTCAATAGTTACTATTTTGTCGGGTAAACTGCTCCTATAAATTTTTATATAATTATCTTTATTGAACTTCAATGAAGATGTTTCATTGCAGTAATATTTCTATATCAAGATTTTTGTTTGTAAAACAATTATTTCTTTTTCTCTAGGTTTCAGGCCTTTAATGAGATCTAATTAAGTAACTAGTCTACTGTTTTATTGTATAGTATTCCTAAGTGACTATTTACTTTGTAGATTATTATATTAAGTTATCTTTATTTTTATAAATCTTTGACTTGTAGAAGGAGATTTAAGTTATTTGTTTCTTTATAATTTTGCATTATTTTCTTTTTAAATTTTTTCTATTTTATTAATAATTGCTTGGTTATCTATATAGATGTTTGCTATATTGTATTTTTAGTAGAACACTTAGAACTATTATAATAGCTACTATTCTTGTTCTAGTAGAAAAGTATTGTCTTTTTATTGTTCTTGAAAGATATTTTTTTTTAGTCTAGAGTAATTAATATTTAATATGATATTTGTAAAAGAGATATCTATAAAAATATAGAATACTGTATAGTTTTCTATTTTTTAATTGTTTTTAAAGCTTATATAATCTCATTTGAGCAGTGAAGAATCTTCTTTTGTCTCCTAGCTTCTGCCTATATATTTGTTTATATTCATATTTCAATATTGTTTCCTTTTTGTAAAGAGAATCTAATTGGGTAAATTCTGCAAAAATAATACTAAGAAAAATAAATAAGATTCTGTTTCTTTATATAGTTTACTTTTCGGTATATTATTTTTTCTACTAATGTTTTATTTTTTTAACCTGGTATTATGATAAATCATTGCCTGTATATTGTAAAACTGTATTCTTCTTGATTTATATCTAGAAAATTAATTGTATATCTTTTTTAAATCTTTAAGTAAGCACTTTTTGGGTTCTATATAAAGTATCTATATTTGGTTATATTTTGATCTATTTTATATTGTTTTTTTCTAATTACTTTTTTTTTTTTTTTTTTTACTCTCTGTCAGGTTAGTTATGTGTGCTTTATTAAATATTTGTAAGTGTATATATTAAATGAAATGCTAAAGCTAAATCTCTAACTAACTCACTCGTTTTGGTTATATTACCTCTCTAAGTGCAACTTCGGGAGTGATTTATCGCTCCATTAGAGGTTCAGGTGAAAACCCTTCCAACCTCTAACATCATTGCCTGCAGGTCACTACTGCAGATTGTTTTTTTTTAATTACTGGTTTATTTGTCTTATATATATATTTAATAAAATTTAATTGTATCATATTTCATTAAAAATCTTAGAAAGAATTTAATAAATGATACTATCTAATAAATAAGAAACTATGACTTTACCTTTAAAATAAAAAAAAAACCATAGTTTTGCACTTATTCAAAAAAAAGATACCTTTATAAAGGAGATAATAAGTAAATACCTTTATTTTAAAAATTGACAAAATCTGTACAAATACAATATTATTTTTATTGAGCAACTACTAATATAAACAAATCCAAAAACTCAAAATAATATGTAATAATTAAATAAGTAAAAGCAGTCTCAGACCTGACATTTAGATGGTTTTTTACAATCTACAACAAATTTAAAACAATATTGAAAAAAAAATTCTGAATCCACAAACAATAATAAATATCTTAAAACAAAGGAGTAGAGGTGAACTCAACTCCGAAAGTTCTTCCAACACAGCTCTTTCTCTTTCAACGCAGGGCAAATAATTTGCCATTTTCATCATTTTAACGGCCACAGATATGTCTTTACATATTCCTTCATACACAACACTAGTTCTTCCTACACCAATAGACCGAACCAGTTTTACAGTTTCTTCGCCAAATCTCAATGGTAGTTCAACCCAGCCCAATTTTTCTGGAGAGCTTTCAAGTATTGTTACCAGGTATCTCGATCCTTTCGAAGGACTAGCTTGCGTCGAAGGACTCGCTTGCGTTTTGTATGTTAAGTATTCACTTTTTATGTAGTTATATGTGAACTGAGTATATCTTTCTAATAAGTTTTCATTTCTGTTCACCCTATATATATTGATGATGATACAATCTGTCAACACTACATACACATAATTTCGTCGTGGCTGAAGTTGGAGTATTTTTTCACCAAATGATAATGCATCTCCTATATCTGCATTGCTAAAGCTTTCACTAACTCGCTTCTTGATCTCACCGACGGCTACAACATTTAACGGATCCAAAGGAGAATCGCTCGGAATGAATACAAAATCTGGTTTTCGAGTATTCAGCAATGGTGAAAAATCTGTGTCTCTGACAATAAGTTTGTTTTGTATGTTTGCATAATTTTCTAGTGCCTTGCATTCACACATAAAGTAATCTCGTACTTTTTCTTCTTTTGGATTTGCGTCCTTGTCAATATTAGGCGGTTGTGAAAGCTTTCCGGGCGACTTTGCTTTGAGACTCCTGGTCAAATCAAGCGGAAACTGAATTTCAACACCTCTTTCTTGCACAAATATACCTTTTTCTGTTTTGTAATAGTACCTAGACACAAATTATTAATGGCGTTTCCAGAAATAGTTGAAAAACCAGGCGAATAATATACCTATAGCACTGTACCATGCATCCGCAGCAAAACGCATCCTCTTCGATTCACGATTCAACCCGTCGACTTTTAAACTAATTTTTTTGTCAATTTCATCAATATGTCTCTTTAATTCTGTAAAATAAACGCTGCGTTAAGATATAATCAACATTTTTAAATCATATCAGAAAAATTATCTTGTTTTTCACCTGAACGTGAAATTAAATATTGGTTAAATTTTGACGGAAATACAAAAATAAATCAAAAGGTTAAGCCATAACACATTCACTCGCGTTGACTAATTTATTATGACCTACCAGAGGCAACAGGTTGATCTACTACTACGATACCGCGAATGTATTTTTGGGCGGGTTTAACGATAAGCAGGAAAGAAAAGTACAAGAATAAATAAGTACTCGGTATTATTGGCAAATATTGACACAGTGTGAGTGAAATGAAGTTTACCTCTTTTAACTTGTTGAACTAATTCTGCGATTGCTATAGCCGGTCCACCTGGTATCCCCCACCTTTCAAGAGTTACTTCGGTTAGTTTAGGGAAGACATCACACCTGACTCCCAGATTGTATATTATATTGATATCTTCGTCCTCGAGATTTAATTCAGCTCTGCTTTCTTGCAAAAATTCCTTAACCTTATCTCGACTCCATCCATTAATTTCCTCAACTGTCGGGAGATCAGCTGTAGAAGCACTCGTAGAAGTACTTGTAATGTTGTCGGACATGATTATTTATATGTAAAACAAACGTGGTAACAGTTGTACAATTCAGAAAAGGAGAAATCGATTGTCGCATAGTTTGATCTAATAGTTGAATTTTTATTAATACGAAACTTCATGTTAAAAAGTGATAATGCAAGAATTACATCATCGCGTAATCTCTTCATTTTATTCTTTCTAACGAGATGCTACATATTTGATACTATCCAAACTTAAATTTGAAGTGCAACAAGCGATGTCATGTGAGGTTGAGCTCTTGGGGAGCGATGTCAATATGGTATACGTGAAGACTAATGAAAAATTCGACATTTATTCTATATTAAAAGGTTTATATTTCGGAGAAAAGAATGCAGAATGGAATCAAAAATATAAATCATTAGGAAAAAGGAGAAATTAGTAAAATATGAAACAAAAAAAGATGATCCCATTTTCACATCCAGGGAAAAACACATAAAAGATCAATTTATACACTTGGTCAACAACTTTATGAACCAATGGATTACAAATCTAATAGATGACTTCTATATATTCAAATTTTCATTCAGCACTAGCCCAGCCTTGGCAGGTTAGCTCCCTATTTTAAGGTGGCAACAAACTGCAAGGTGAGTGCCCTCTTGAAATAGGAGGATTTTATTGAGTTTTATTTGATAGTAAACAGGTAATACAGTATATCTTAGGATAGTTTCTATGTATTGAATAATTTTCAAATACAGCAAGACTATTTCAGCATTTAAGATAATAATTCTTCTTTTAAATTTTAAAATTTATTTTCAAAGAACTTAGCTATTTCTGGATAGTAAACAAATTTAAAAAGAGTTAATCTAAACTGAATAATAAAGTATTTTTTTATAATTTTGTATAATTAAAATAAAAAATAAAAATTATATATCAAATAGAAATTTTTTATTATTAAAAAATTAGATTGATAAAAAAATTTAACATATTATATATTGTTTAATTTTTAATTTTATAATTAATTTTTTAAAAAATTTTATTAATTTATAGAAAAACTTTTCCAAATATTTTTTTAATTATTAGTAATATTATAAAAATATTTAATATAACTAATAAATATTTATTTATATTTTAAAACTAATACATTTTATATCACTCAATTATTTTTTAAAAAAATATATTATTTATAATTTAAAATCAAATTGAAATAAATAGATTTTTAGAAAATGAAAATAAGTTTTTTTATTATATAAAATTATTATTAATATTTATTTCAAAATTAAGTATATTACAATTGATATTTTTTATAAACCTTTTTTTCTATTAATTTTAAAGTATTATTTGACTTTTTAAGTTTAAAAGTCATGTTTTAATTCTAAAGATTTACAAACAATAAAAAAAAGATATAATAATAACTTTTAAAAATACTTTTTTATTTTTTTAAAATATAATAGCAAATTTTATTTATTAAAAATCAAAAAACTTTTAATAATCATCTTTTTATATATTATTAAAAAATTTATAAAGAATTTAATATATTAATTTTCTTTTTTAAAAAAATTGCTGAATCAGTCTTGCTTTATTTGAATTTAGTGAAAAATTACATATGTCTATACTATAACTATATTTGTTTATCAAATAAAGCTTGATAAGGAGAAACCTACCTCATGGCTTGTTGCTATCCTTTAAGGGAAACTAATCTGCAAAGGTTGGACTAGCACTATACAAAATCTCCAATAAATGGTAAGAAATTGTGATTAATCTAATACTATTATGAATATGTTTGTTAAATATACTGATAAATTGTTTTTTTATATATTTCACTCTTTCTCTATAGTAATGACCTATAAGCAATGATTTTATTAATTGAAGGAATTATTCAAATTAGTAAAGGAGCAAAATATCATTCCCTAGATTGTATTTAAAAAATGGTTTTTCAATAACAAGTGAGTCAATATATAAAAGTCACAATAATTTGTAAATATCTAGCATGTATACAATAAAGGCACACCATGCTAACCTGACTGCAGATTAAATATATATATATATATATATATATATTTCTCTCTTTCTTCTACTCATGGATCTGATATGGCAGTATTATATTTGTATTGCTTTTTCAAGTCTCTTGTAATACCTTGTTGTTTTTTTTAATTATAAAAGTATTCATATCTTTTGTGCTATATTTCTTGAAATGCTTGATAATCTCTTGAGTGAGTTCTTGGAGACATGATTTTCTTGTGTTTCAATTGGAAATTAACTCACTGATCATCTTGATTGTTTCTTTTAAGATGCCTTCTCGGATGATTATTTCTAGATATCATTTGTAATGTAGAGTAGTATTGGTTGATTACTTTGACAGAATGTCTTTGGTTTTGTTATGTTTACTGAATTTTGTAACAATCTTTTTTATAGTTTCAATGAGGAAATTGCCAGTTGCATTCTGGTGTGTTTGACAAATAAATGTGTATATATTGAATTTACTTTGGCCACGTTTTATATATTTGTTATATTTATACAATTTGGGTATTCTGCTGAAGAGTTTGACTTTATAGGTAGTTCTTCATTCTATAGTAGTAGTCAGAATCTTCTTTACAGTTAATCGGGCCAACTGGTATAGTGATTATTCGTTTTAATTGGCTGTAAGTTGTCTATAGTTGATGGTCAGTGAAATTTTCTTGATCATGAAGTCATTGAAATTGTTTTTAGTATGATTTAAAAGTCTTGACTTTGTCAAATATACAGTTTTTATAATATGTTTAGTTATTGTCTTGATTGGAATGTTCATTATTTGGTGGTCCCATTGAGAAATAAGAGTTAGTTATTGATTGTTTATAATATGTGTAGCTATTATTTTACTGTTTGGAGTCATGCCATTTCTGGGATCAATGCTTGCCAATTTGTCTCCATCTTCATTGTGCTCTCTTCCAAAGTAAAATTTACCTTTTTTAGCTTCATATTTATGTTCTTTTTTACACTTATATCTTTTATTTGTTGTAAGAGAATAAAGTTCCTTTGTTTTCTAAGGGCTTTGATAGGAATTGTGTTCAGTATGTTGTTGATGTTATTTATAGCTGCATTACTATCTGTGTAAATTTTTGCATGAATGTACTATAGAAGAATACTTAATGCTATCAGTATTGTCATTATTTCTATATGAGTTAAAGATTTATATAATGTTGTTTGTCCTTGGAAGGTGAACTCTTTTTCCTTATATGTGATAATTTTGAGTCCTATGTCCATAAATCATTTTTTGTTATATTCTTTTAGTGATCTATCTATATATATGTCAAAAATCATATTGTCTTGAATTTTATTGGCTAGTTTAATAGTTTATTTATTATACTACTATTTGGTGTCAAAGAGTTTGTTTTGAAACTAGTTTATATCTTATGTTGTCAGTACAAAAATTTCTACCTGTCTACTTGTTGATTCCATATCTGGGTAGCCTATCAGATCCAGTATATTATGAATTGAGTCTGGGAATATTCTATACTTAAGTATACTATTTTCAGTGTTGGGGATATCACATGTGATTATTCTGCTTTTGTAAACTGGAATGCAAATTGAGTTTTGTCGACCTGCTGAAAAGGTGCAAGAATAGAGATTTTGGCTATGGTTGTTGATATCATAGCCTGTATATTCTACTAGAGTGGACTGGTTGTTGATCCTATTGTAGTATCTATATTCTGAAACTTGATTATTTACCCTTCTTTGTTTTCTTCCAATGATGGTTTGATTACTCAACTTTGTGTTGATCCAGTGTAGTTGTACTGTATTTTGGTCTATTGATCTAGTGTACTATAATAAAGGATTGATTGTAAACTATTGAGAAGATTCATCTACAATCCATTTCAGAAGTCTTTCTTTCAAGGTATAATACCAGACTAGGGTATGGCCTTGTATAGTTTGGTGGTTGAGTCTGATTATTTGACACCAGTATAAAGTCTTTTTCTCTTTGTTATTTAATATTAGGTCAATAAAAGGGATGTTATACTTTCTTAGGCTCTTTCTGTACTGATTGTAGAATGCTATGCTGATGATTTCTTTGATTGTATATCTGTTTTTGCAATTGTTGTGTACTTTCTATTAAGAGTATTCAGGAATGAAAACTATATATCCTGAGAAGCCATATTAAGTCATGTATAAAATTTCTTCCTTGTGATAGGAGAGGTATGTATATATGGTTCATTATTGTCTTTGTGAATCAGAAAATGTTTTGTAATAATTGAAGTCTTTCCCTTGCTATTTCTCCTGTAATATTGTTTAAGTTAATACGTGATGTTCAGTTTGTGACATGTAAGAGCAGCTATCTGTTTTACCAATACATTATATTATATTCAGATTCATTATATAGCATACTATTGAGAATTGTATTTGCTAAGCCAAGCTTGTATTTGAAGATAGTCATCAGTTTGCCATCACTTTGTTGTATATATCTCTAGTTAGAACTACTTTGTGTCATTGTAGAGATATTCTAAGCTAGATCACATCTTTTATTAACATATATGCAATATAGATTTCATAGATATATCAGATCTTCCTCCCCAAAGTCACAATTGAGGGATCTATACAAACCCTTAATATATATTTGTCTTTAAGTAATTATATATTTTTGAAATAAACCTATCTATATAAGTAGAAAATCTATTCTACTTCTATATATAACTACTACCTATTTGAAAAGATGTATAATTCCTTCTTAATTTTTTTCAGAACAATTTTATTTATATTAAAAGTAGGTTGATTATCAGGCTGTCAAATTTTCTTTATCCTGGATTATTTAGATTTTTAGTCCTTTGGAGTGGTTCACAAATTTCTTTTTCCACCAAGGCCTTTCATTAGTCAAGTTTATGAAATCCAGCATAGCCACATACTTGAATTCTTGAACAGATGTCTCAACACTAAGGCAAGGAACTGGGGTTTTCTTTAATTAATTTATCATCCCTTTCTTCAGTAGTATGCTACTGATTCAATGTTTACTTTTTTTATTACCAGTTCTTTCTGATAATGTAATTGTATTAGGATAATTCTATCTGATTTCAGACATT